CTTGGATATAATATTGAAATATATAGAGTTGTTTAGTATTTAACACTTCCCTTCTATCAAGTAGTTTTCCACTTGGGAAAAAAAAAAGAAACTTCCTGAAGTGGTATCCAATTTTATATCTTAGTAACAGTTTCCTAAACTTGTTGTTTACAACGTGATCTACCTATGTAAAGTAAAAACAATGGTAAATGTTGAGTAACAAGTGGACTCTTGAAAATATTTAGCAATCACAACTGAAACTGAATTCATTCTATGACTTAAATGATTATAATTTATCAAATATTTATATCCAAGAAATAATATCTTAACCTGTAAGCCAAGAACGTGTGTTTTACAGGTTAATTTACACATAATATACACCATGGGATTGCAGCATTTTATGCAAATTAAAAATATAATACTATAGATAATAACTCACTTTATATGAGAAATCTATCTAAAGGAGTGAAAAAATGTTTAAATCATCACGAATGATGTAAGGTCAAGATGTGAGGCAAAGTGAGTTGTAACCCATATTTAAGCTATTGTTACACACTTCAGCTGGTCAAGCAGAAACATTTGTCCTCCTTTATCAAAAAGAATACCGAGGCCAGGCGCAGTGGCTCACGCCTGTAATCCCAACACTTTGGGAGGCCAAGGCGGGTGGATCCCAAGGTCAGGAGTTCGAGACTATCCTGGCTAACACAGTGAAACCCTGTCTCTACTAAAAAAAAATACAAAAAATACAAAAAGTTAGCCGGGTGTGGTGGCATGTGCCTGTAGTCCCAGCTACTCGGGAGGCTGAGGCAGGAGAATGGCTTGAACCTGGGAGGTGGAGGTTGCAGTGAGCCCAGATCGCGCCACTGCACTCCAGGCCGGGCGACAGATTGAGACTCTGTCTCAAAAAAAAAAAAGGGTATTGGATTACACAAGGTCTTCAAAAACATATCTTTCTTGGGCGGACATGGTGGCTCATGCCTGTAATCCTAGCACTTTGGGAAGTTGAGGCAGGCTGATCACTTGAGGTTCGAGTTCAAGACCAGCCTGGGCAACATGGTGAAACTCCGTCTCTACTAAAAATACAAAAATTAGCCAGGTGTGGTGGCACAGGCCTGTAATCCCAGCTACTCAGGAGGCTGAGGCACTAGAATTGCTTGAACCCAGGAGGCAGAGGTTGTAGTGAGCTGAGATCGCGCCACTGCATTCCAGCCTGGGCGACAAAGTGAGATTCTGCTCAAAAGAAAAGAAAATATAAAAACCAACCCCATATCTTTCTTGTGTAATGTGACCATTCTGTGTTACTTGCCATAAATCACATTGCATAATATGTTTAATTCCCTAAAAAGAAATTAGTTCTGGTGCTGACTTCCACAGCACATATAGTAAAATTGGAATGATACAGAGATTAGCATGACCCCTGCACGAGGATGACACAAATTAGTGAAGGGTTCCATATTAAAATAAAGTAAAAAGAAGAAATAAAACACTTAAAAAAAAGACATTAGCTCTAAGTCATGCATATTTACAGAAAGAAACTGTTAGGTCCGTGGGAAAGTCTGACCTGTAACCTGCTGTTTCCCAGGCCGTCAAACTCCGTTTAGAGGGTCAAGCATGAATCTTGCCATACATTATTTTCTGTTTTCTTTTTTAAAGATTTTCTTTTCTGTTTTTGAGAAGGAGTTTTGCTATTGTTAACCAGGCTGGAGTGCAATGGCATGGTCTCGGCTCACCACAACCTCCACCTCCCGGGTTCAAGCGATTCTCCTGCCTCAGCCTCCGGAGTAGCTGAGATTACAGGCATGTGTCACGACGCCCGGCTTATTATTATTATTATTATTCTTTGTATTTTTAGTGGAGACAGGGTTTCTCCATGTTGGTCAGGCTGGTCTTGAACTCCCAAC